CATGGATCCCCTAAGCACCTAAGCGGCCTGCAGCAGCTCGGCCCTGGGAGAGTGGACTGTGGCCAGGCGGACACAGGTGTCTTTTTTTTTTAAAGTAAGAAAGCTCACCTGGAAGCACCAGCCCTTTCTGAGTGTGCAGCCCTGTGCCACCACATGGGTTGCATGCCCATGAAGCTAGTCTACCTGCCATCCACTTCCTCACACCAGTGGCATCCTCTTGTTTCTTAGAAATGTACCAACCAGTTTCTGTTTCATCTTAGCATGGCTCACTACTCCTCAACAGGGCCTTAGTGGAAAGGGTAGCCATTTTTTTTGAGACAGAGTCTCTGTCACCCAGGCTGGAGTGCAGTGGCGTGATCTTGGCTCACTATAACCTCCACCTCCCAGATTTAAGTGATTCTACTGCCTCAGCCTCCTGAGTAGCTGGGATTACAGGCATGCGCCACCATGGCCAGCCAATTTTTGTGTTTTTAGTAGAAACGGGGTTTCAACATGTTGATCAGGCTGGTCTCGAACTCCTGACCTCATGATCTGTTCTCCTTAGCTTCCCAAAGTGCTGGGATTACAGGCGTAAGCCACCGCAGCCTTTTTTTGTTTTGTTTTGAGACAGAGCCTTGCTCTGCTGCCCAAGCTGAAGTGCAGTGGCTGGATCTCCGCTCACTGCGATCTCCACCTCCCAGGTTCAAGCAATTCTCCTGCCTCAGCCTCCTGAGTAGCTGGGATTACTGGCACACACCACCATGCCCAGCTAACTTTTGTACTTTTAGTAGAGACGGGGTTTCACCATGTTGGCCAGACTGGTCTTGAACTCTGACCTCAGGTTATCCACCCACCAACACTCCAGCCTGGGTGACAGAGTGAGACTCCGTCTCAAAAAAAAAAAAAAAAAAAAAAAAAAAAAGTCATACTGGAGTAGAGTGAACCCCTAACCCAATATGGCTGGTATCCCTATAAAATATCTTTTTTTTTTTTTTTGAGAGGTAGTCTCCCTCTGTCGCCCAGGCTGGAGTGCAGGGGCGTGATCCCGGCTTATTGCAAGCAAAAGGAGACATTTGGATATGGAGACATGTACAGGGAAAATGCCCTGTGAACATGAAGATGGCCATCTGCAAGCCCAGGAGAGAAGACAGACCCTTCCCTCCCAGCGCCCAGAAGGAACAAACCCCGCCAACATCTTGTTTTCAGATGCCTCCAGGATTAGCGAGACAATAAAATCTGTCATTGACGCCACCTGGTTGGTGACACTTAGGTACAGCCACCCTAGCAAACGAATACACCCTCGTTAGAACTAAGCTCCCTCAGAGCGGTAAGCTGCCTTGTTTTGCTCACAGCTGTCCCAGAACGCGCCTGTACGGTCACTTGGCACCCAGTATTGCCATTTTTCCGTTTCACTAGTATGTATGAACCGGAGAGCGTGTCAAGGGAAGAGCTGAATCGTTTATCTTTTGCAACGACTACCCAGTAAAGGTAACCGCGAGTATGCAATAAAAACCTGTTGAATCGTTGAAACCATTTCACTTATTCCCAGATTTTTGCGGAGAGCGCCGGTAGGTGAAATGTGTGCAGACTGATGAGTCACAGCTCTTATTCCCTGGGCTCCATTAACACCCACGACGTGCTTTTCGCTCTCCAGACAAAGAGACCGGTACTTGGCAGGTCCCTCAAGTGGGACTCAAAAGACCGAACCGAGCTGCAGCCTTTCTCTATCGTTGGTCCTCGCCCCTTTTGGCATCTTGGTACTTGTAGTTTTGTCCACTCTATCTTTACCCGAAAAGCCAGTGCTGAGACCACAACTCCCATCACCCTGCGAGCACCGGCGCCTTCAGAGCGCATCCTCCGAGGGGCGCCAGCGCCATTGACCACCCCGCTGGCCGAAGGGCCCGCCTTCACGAGCCTAGGCGCTCCTGCGATTGGCCAGCAACCCCGCCTCTCATCGGAGGGCGCCAGGTGAATGAAAGGGGGGCGTGTCGGTGCGCGGTGCTCCGTGGCTGAGCGGCTGGAACCCACTAGAAGGTGAGCGCCTAGAAGCGTGTTGGTGCAGCAGCTTTCGTTGGTTTGGGGGAGGATTCGGAGCGCCCAGGAGGCTGGCCCGAGATTGGGGTTAGCGGGCAGGGTTGCCCCCTCCCAGTCGTCCTCCTTCGGTCCACTTGGCCCTTGCAACTCCGGGGACCTCACGCCGCGCGAGCCCTTCCAGAGTGGGGAGAGGCGGGCGCGGCCGTGAGCCCCCAGCTTCCCAGGCATTGTGCTGCCCCCCGCGTCGTCCAGGTGGGAGTCGCGGCGCCGACTCTTTTCTCCACGGTGAATGGTGCCCAGGCGCGGGGACTCGGCCACACTGGGGAAGTGCCTGCCGCAGCGATGGTCACTTTGTCCGCGGGAGGCCACGAGAGGGGCTAGGCCTCGGGGCCCCACCCTCGGGCGCCGTACCCTGTAGCTGGTTCTGGTGGCCTCCGCAGGTCGTCTGATGCTGGATAGGGGAGGGTCCACCTGTCTTGCGTGCAATTTAGATGCAGTTGACCCTGAAATTCTTCATGTGGAAATGGAAACTTCTTCAGTGCCTAAAAGAAAGAAGTGACTTCCCCAACCTGTCGTACCGTGTCCTAGAGGGTTTGGGGAGGCTGGTTAGCATAGTAGTTAAGGATGTCAACCCTGGAGTCTGTCGGTTCTCCGTTCCATTCCTAGCTTGGTGATGTTATCTGTGTCTTTGAATCTCAGTTCCTCCTCTGAAAAAAGGGATGTAGAGTATCTGTCCTACTGGGTTATTGTGAGGTGAAAATGAATGTGCCTGTAAAAGGCGGGCATGATGGCGGGCACCTGTAGACCCTGCTACTCGAGAAGCTGAGGTGGGAGGATGTCTTGAGCCCAGGAGTTCCAGGCTTTATTGAGCCAGGATCGTGCACTTCAGTCTGGGCAACAGAGCAAGACTGTGCTTCTTTAAAAAAATTAATTTAAAAAGTAAAATAAATATGCTTGTACTTTATACAGTGTTTCATAAGTAATAGTGTCCAGTATTTTGCTAAACTTGAGGGGCAGGTTTTTGTTATTCTCAGGTTGGTGGGACTCAGAAAGGATTGGGGGTGGAATTCAAGGCTGCTTTTGGCCTCTGGACGGAGACAATCGTGTGATCTGGCTAGGACTCCCTCAAAGGTATATGAGAGTTTGTATTGCAGGTAGTTGTGTTGGCATCTGCTGTCTCCTGGAGAACAAGCGCTGTATTTGGTTCATTTTTCTATTCCTGGCATCTTCCTTGTGTCAGGCATTGTATGTAGCGGGTAACTGTTGAATTGAATTGGAACCATGGGATGGTTGGGAGGTTCCCTGCCAGAGTGTGGATAGATGTGCTTCTGAGAGCACTCTGCCCTAAGAGCTGCTTTTCTGGGAGCACTGATGATCCTCAGCACTCCCCAGGGCAGCAGCACATTCAGGCAAATGGGGTTGATATAGATAAATATTTACACAATATATACCAAGTACAGGATTGGGGAAAGTTTTGAAGAAAGTACCATATGGATAGATTTTTGCAAAGTCAGGAAGTAGAAGAAAAATAATTGCAACAGAAAAAAATAATTGCAGTGAGAAAGCCAAAAGAAATTGGTTTTAGGTGCTATTGCTGGAAAGGAGGCTCTTCCAATGAAAGATGGAAGTGCCCTGGGAAGAGGCCCTGTAGATCAGGCCATATGACAAGTTAAGAAGTGTTGCGCATACTTCCATATTTTTCTACCTGGCTTACCAACTCCTTACCCCTCTGCCCTGCCTCCTTTTTTTCTTAGTTAACAAAAACGCCAAGGCAGAAGGATCACTTGAGTCCAGGAGTTTGAGACCATGAAGACTAGCCAGGGCAACATAGTGAGACCCCATCTCTACAAAAAATGTTTTAAGAATTAGCTGAGTGTGGTGCTGCATGCCTATAGTTGCACCTACTTGGGAGGCTGAGGCAGGAGGATCGCTTGAGGCTGGGAGGTCGAGCCTGCAAAAAGCCAAGATCATGCCACTGCACTTCAGCCTGGATGACAAAGTGAGACCCTGTCTCAAAAGGAAAGAAAAGGAATACATGTACATAGTAAAACATTCCATCAGAAAGGTTTAAAATGAAAGGCAAAAGTCCCTCCACCCACTTCTGTACTCCCTCTCCCCAAGGGTGTCTGCTGTTAAATCTTATATAGCCTTCCAGCAAAACATACATTTAGCAGCAAAAGCGTATACGTATGGGATCAACTATACATTTTGTTTTGCATCTTGCATTTTTTTTCTTTTAATATATCTTGGTTACTTTTTCACATGAACACAGGGGCAACTCTACACGATTGCATAATATTCCATTGTGTGACTGTAAAGTCATTGATTTAACTTGTCCCCTATTGATGGACATTCACATTGTTTCTACTTCTGCGCTAGTAGAAAAACCTGGTGCAACCAACATCCCCAAACTTATTTATTTTATTTGTTTGAGGCAGGGTCTTGCTCTGTCCCCCAGGCAGGAGTGCAGGGATGCCATCATAGCTCACTGCAGCCTTGACCTCCCAGGCCTAAGCGATTCTCCTGCCTCAGCCTTTTGTGTAGCTGGGACCACAGGTGTGCACCACCACACCTGGCAAACCTTTTAAATTTCTTGTAGAGACTGAGTTTTGCCACGTTGCCCAGGCTGGTCTTAAACTCCTGAGCTCAAATGATCTGCTCACCTCAGCCTCCTAAAGTTCTGGGATTACAGGTGTGATTCACTTTGCCCCAGTCCTGAACTTATAATTTTTTAAATTTTGAATTGGAGTCCTGCTCTATCGCCAAGGCTGGAGTGCGGTGGTGCAATGTCAGCTCACTGCAAGCTCTGCCTCCGAGGTTCAAGCAATTCTCCTGCCTCAGCCTCCTGAGTATCTGGGTTTATAGGTGTGCACCACCACACCCAGCTAATTTTTGTATTTTTAGTAGAGAAGGGGTTTCACTGTGTTTGCCAGGCTGGTCTCGAACTCCTGACCTCAAGTGATCTGCCACATGGTCTCCCAAAGTGCTGACATTACAGGCGTGAACCACTGTGTACGGCCCTGAATTTATAATTTGATGTATTTTGGGGAATATATTCGAATGAGTAAATTTATTGCAATGAATTTGCCAGGGCAAAAGGTGTGTATATTTAAAGCCTGATAAATATTGCCAAATTCCCCTCTGCTGTGGTATTCCAAATTGTGTTCCCACCAATACTGGATATTATCACATTGAAAAATGTGATTTTACCAATCTGATGTTTTCTTTCAGTTCTAAGAAAAAATAAAATGTAGTATTTTTTTTCTGTCTCTTGTTTTTCCCTTAGTATTTTGATTGTCAAAGGCAACAGCAGATACTGCTGAGAAGGCTTGGTTGTGTAAGATTGACTGAAAGGATAGAGAGACAGACCCAGGGTCAGGTTTAGCAAGTTTATTTCAACCTGCCAGGCTGACTGCCTCACCACAGGCAGTGAAGGCAGCAGTCTAGCTTACAGACTATAGAGGTTATATAAGGGGTTTGCAGGTGGCTGGGGCTAGTCTAAGAAAAACTGCCTCTTGGTTCTTAAATGCTAACATCCTGCTTAATTGGGTTGCCATCCTGGGTTCGAGGGCCGGGTGTGACCACATCCTGGAACCCAGGCGCCCTGTTTGCAAAGCGTGAGGCTGTTTTTGCTGTGAGCTCGGCTTAGCAGGAGAGAACAGGGAGGGGGGTCTATGGGCTTGCCTTGCTGTGACCCTAACATTCCAGCCTTTTGTTATATCTATAAAAGAAAGAGAGAAGGGGTGACATTTGTTTCTAGCTGCTTCATGCTAGGTAGGGATGCTGGTTGGGGTGAGGCTGGCTTGCAAGTTGGTAGTCCTGGAATACCATCATGTTTTGTATTGTGCTGCGAGTGAAGGCTTATAATTGATTGTGCAAAAACTGGGTGAAAAGGCATAAGAGACAAGGGCCAAAGACCAAGAGGAGGAGGAGAGTTATAGCAGGGCCAAGGAGGAGAAGCAGCCAAGGGGCCCAGGAACCGAGAGACCAGCCGGGCTAGGAGGGCCAGGCAGAAGGATTGTTTTCTTTTGTTTTTTGGGCTCAGTCTTCAAGTCTTTTGATTGCATCTTGCACTATTCGGATTGGTTGAGATAGAAACACCATTGTTCATCTAGGAAGACGCCGAGACCTCCTTTTTCGGCGGTAAGTAGATAGAGGCCTCTTTGGTTCTGGAGGACAGCTGCAGCCAGTAGTGAATCTATTTGTGTTTGGTGGTTAGAAATGGACTTGGCCATGTCCTCTATAATGTCTGTAAGGTCTTTGGAGAGGGAGGGATAGTAGGAGAGAGTTGGAAAACCCGGCAGTTCCTGTTGCAATGCCTGTAGTCCTGTAGCTATTCCTAGTCCCACAAGCAGAGGTATGAGCTGCACCGCCCAGTGGTGCCAGATAGGAGTGTTGACCAGGATGGGTAAGGATTGTTACCTGGGACTATACTCATTTTTTGGGGTGAGGAATACTAGGGTGCAGGTGTCAGTCCAATTAGTGGGGAGGCAAATATAGGTGGAGGTGCCGCTTAAAAAGAAGACACCTTGGCTTGGCAGACGGAATTGTGTATATTGAAGAGACGTGAAAATTTGTTGTTCTTTAGGAGCCATACTCCTAACGTCCCTGCAAGTGTGGCTGCAGTGAGTGGGAGTACGGGTGCATTATGAGGGGTTTGAGTGCCCTGCAGTGCCGCATTTTCCCAGTGTAGTAAGAAGCGTTTGGTGTCTACCAGAATCCAGTGAGAGGAGTTATTGGCAAAGAATGGGTGGAGGAGACAGTCTGGAGTTCTAGATGACTCAGTTGCACAGGAGGGCAGCCAGGGATGGAGTTTTAAGCAGGAAAGGTGTGTGCCGTTGCAGAAGCCTGACTTCTTATTAAGGAGTAGGGTGATGTTGAGTTTTGGGGGGCTTGAAAAGCAGAGAGTAGTTTTGAATATGTTTTGGTTGGTATGACCAGCGGAGGGCTTGAGTTGTAAATTGAAGTTTACACTGTTGGGGGGCAGGTGGCCTAGGAGGTGGCCAGTTGGGGAATGGCGTAGAAAGCACAGTGGGGCCTGAGAGAGCAGAGCTGTTTGTGTGGTGACGGGGTTTAGTAGAGGCTGAGTTTGATTGATATTGGGAGTAAGGGAGGTGAGATATGGGTGTAATAACAGAACTGCTTGTCCAGTGGGAGATGGAGGTTTGTTATGCTCTGTGAAGGATTCAGAGAGTTGTATTAGTTGCTGTAAATTATATTGGAAAGGTCTCCCTAATTGAAAGTGGGGTGATAGTTTACTCTGGTATGGATCCAGTCTTGTGTGGGGACAGGGATGGCAATGTAGACAGTGTCTGAGACAGAGACACAGCCAACAGTTGCTTGCCAGAGCTGGGTTAGACTGGTTTAGTTGGCACCGAGTTGAGTTGAGACTGTGGTGAAGGTAGTGTGCCAAGGGAATGGGGTAGGTGTTGGTGAGAGAGGGGGTAGGAATAGCAAATAAGCAAAGGGTAAGGATGAAGGTAAAAAACTGGACTTCATCTGGGGTGAAATTGCAGAGGGTGCCTTGGAAGATAAGGTCAGTTATCCAATCTAGAAATGGGGAGAGAGTAGGTTCTTTTGGAAAGAACCATGCAATATCCTCCCTGAGATGGTGAAGGAGGAGAATGAAGCGACAAGAAGAACAGAGACAGGGCATAAAAAAAAAAGAGGGGGCAGTTATTTACCAGCAATTGTTATTCCTGCTATTAGTGCAATGATTAGGCAAAAAATTATGGCAATGAAGGCTCTCTGCTGTTCCACGTTGAGGGGGCCACAGTATCTATACCTACTGCAAACAAGAGGGTGAGTGAGGCAGCTCCCCTAAGAAGGATGTAGTAAGCAATTTCCATTTAAGGGTGTTATAACACTTGATTTGTAAAAAAGGAGCAGGAACAAATAGAGAGGGGGTAATTTTGCCTAATTGTCTGGTGGCAGTCCCTCTGGATGTAAGGCGGAATCTGGTTGGCCCGAGCATGACGCTGGAGTATTGATGAGTGATTGGCGGGGGAGGAGTAGATGGACCAGTGGGGGCCTCAGGGGCCTGATTTCACCTGGAGAGATGATACCAAGAAGTGTGTCCTGAGAATTTGGCCACCGTGGGAGTAGTGAGGAGAACCTGGAAGGGGCCTTCTCATTTTGGTTTAAGCCTTGTGGGATCAAGGGTTTTTAGAAAAACACATTTTCCTGGGAGTAGGGCCTGGTTAACTGGGCCTTCATGAGGCCTTGGGAGGGTCCGGTTGGTGTGTTGGCGGAGGAGGTGTCAGATAAGAGAGAGTGTCGAGGGATATTCTCCTAGTTGAGAGTTAGTAGGGGGCCTGTATTGTAAGAGGAAAGGGCGTCCATACATAAACTCCAATGGGCCGAGGAAGATGGGTGCATTTGGGCTGGCTCTGATTCGGGCTAGAGCTATGGGAAGAAGGGAGGTTCAGGGCTTTTGGACTTCGAGAGTGAGTTTGGCTAATTGAGTTTTTTTTTGAGACGGAGTTTCGCTCTTGTTACCCAGGCTGGAGTGCAATGGCGCGATCTCGGCTCACCGCAACCTCCGTCTCCTGGGTTCAGGCAATTCTCCTGCCCCAGCCTCCTGAGTAGCTGGGATTACAGGCACGCGCCACCA